CTCTTGGAGGAGACGAAACGTTTCATTAAAGAAGAACCCGTCCAGAAGACCTATACAAATTTTCTTTTTCTTCTTTTTAGTATTTTTTTTAAATGAACACACGAAACATTTCAGAGAGCCCCTGCTTTACTTTCAGRTTTAAAAAAAGCTCATTTAGAAGAGTTTAAAGTGTGAAGCTGATTTAACAGTCGTTCTGCGAGCAGCGCCGTCAGGATGTCATGTCGGAGCAGACAGTGGCTGATTTCAGAACAGAATCACGGCTCGTTTAATCTGATTATGGGATTAAGTCATTCTACCAACTGAACATGAAACTGATATTTGACTTAATGACCCTCCATTCTCTGAGCACAGATCTGCTGGTTGCTGCTCCTGTTCTGCAAATAAGAGCAAAACAGGAATTTATACAAAAACATTTTGTAGCTACATTGAGTTTATTGTTGGTACGGTAAATAATTTAAGCACTGGAGACGCTGAACGGCCTGTAAAATGTGAAAATAAGCTGCATTTTCTGCAACAAAGCAGTGTAAAATCTAACATTTGTTGAAGAAGCTGAACTGTTCAAATTAAAAGATGTAGAACAAAAGCTAAAATTACTAAATACAAGGAAATGGTAGCTAGAGGCAGGAAAAGGCTAGCAAAACATTGCAATGTAGCACAAACTCTATAAAGTTAACTAATTGATTATAGTAGCAAAAGGCTAGCTAAAAGCTAAATGTAGTAGGATGCTAACTAAAAACTTGCATAAAGCTATTTATTTACAAAAACTAGGAAATGGTTAGCTAATAGTAGCAGCATGGTTACTAAAAGTAGCAAAAGGTTAAAAGCTAAAAGAAGCTTGATTAGTTAAAAGTAGCAGAATGTAGCTAAATGCTAAAACAGCAAAAGACTAAAAGCTAAATGTAGTAGGATGCTAGCTAAAAGCAATAAGTAGCAAGAGGCTATTTATATGCTAAAAACAACAAAATGTTAGCTTAGCAGAAAGATAGCTAAAAGTGGTTGTTTTTAAGTAAAAGCTAAAAGCAACAACACATCTGTGCTAAAACAGCAGATGGCCTTTGGTGGCCGGTCTTAGCCCAGACAGAGCTCTGGATCGGGGTGAATCTAGTCGATAAAATAAAAAGAACAAACAATTTCTCTTCGGTGGGTTTTTGATGTTTAAAGCTGCAGCCACGTTAGCTTACAGTCCTACATACACTTTTACAGAAACCTGTGGAAACTGAAACCTTTAAATCTGTTGTCACTTTAATTAAAAAATTGTTTTCTAAGAGACAATATGCAACTTAAATAAAAAAAACGTCTGGTAGTTTCAACTAACCTAAATTTGTTTCTGTGTTCAACATCCCTTTTTTTTAAATCAGAAAAACAATCTGATTCATCAGGTCTGATCTGTTTCAGATGTTTTATTTATTATAAAAACACATTTGAACTGGACCTTAAAAACTATAGTTTCTCATCAAACTAATAAGGTTCATAAACAGGAGGATTCCTTATTTTAAGGGCAACCCTGACACACACACACACACACACACACACACACACACACACACACACACAC